GTTGGAGATATTTAGACATTTAAGATGTTTAGATTAAACTAAAGAGATGTTTGATCAAAAATTAAAGGAGGTGATGTTAGTAATTTATGTTTTTAAAACAGCACTCTGAGTTTAGAAATGCATTTCAATACAGTATGCCAATTGTCTAAGACAGTGATGGATTGGTGATAATCTGGGCCTTTTTGTTGCCACATTGATTTGGAAATATTGCTGTCTTTTATTTGAACATGAACTCCTTAAAAGTCCTGTCTGACAGCAGAACATGGGCCCAACAACAAACAAAACAAAAAAAACTAGAATCTTTTTTGTATGTTTTTTCCCCCCCCCCCTCTATAACTGTTTAATATTAATATGCAGGGATGCTCGTCTTTACAAAAACGTCGACAAAAGAGGATTTGAAACCTTTGAAGAATTATCCATAAGACCACGCTTTTCACAGATTTTCAAAAGAAAATAAAATAAAAATTAAAAAACCACAGAATAGACATTTGTCACTGTGAGAAAAAAAATGCTGAGCTGATCTTGGGAGCCCCAGCTTATGATGAAATAAAACAACTTACCACAGAAAGACCAGAGTTACTCTGACTTTTCCTCCTTCCTTCACAGGACCTCTCACGACCTAATAATTTATGGCTGGATAGAAAGGACATGTAAACTGATGCTAATAGAGGTTGACAACAACAATGTCATTACTAAAAAGGATGAGCCGTTTCTACTCCGACCCTATAAAGCTTCTCTTGTTGCCTCGGGATCCTCTTAAAGCTTCTCCGAGGGTTCTGTTACATCTACGTGTTCTTGAAAGCAGACATCGCAGTGCAGGAACACCAACCGGCAGATTTTAAAAGCCTGCAGCGCTGACACGGCACTTCTCTCATGGGTTTTATACTGCAGCATGCTCCCTCGTCAGCCCAGCGCTCCTCTAACAGCTCAGGCGCCTCTCGTTTCAGATCACGGCCCCCCCTCACGCCCCAACCCCTTCCCACGGGGTGCGTGTAAACAAGCCTTTAGCATTATGCCACCAAAGGCAAACTTTGTGACGGAGGGAGACAGTCGCCAAACAAAAGCCAGGGACAAAGTGAAACGACACAAACCCAACAGGTACACCACCATCTGAGCAACCTTTTGGTGCGTCATTGATAAGAGGTTCAATGATCGTCATGCAGGGTAGACGCACGTGGACTGAATCTATATGACGACAACACAGTTGTGCCTCTTGTGGTTTGGCAACGCACAAGAAAACCGACTTGTTTTTATCAAATTTAACTCACCGTTTCAAAGTCAGTGTCTTGTATATTTATTACATGCATGAAAGTGAGTATGGATGAAAAAATAGCAAAAAGGAAAAATAAAATAAAATAAATAGTGGTCATACTGGAGTACCGACAAATCTGCCATGTAAACAGCCTCTGAGCCAAAGTTTGCACTTTCAAGCATTTAAGATTTAAGCTTTTGAAAGCAGATGATGGAGGATCTGCCGCTGACTTTGAGTCTCTCTTTCTTTTTCTGTGTAATCTCACTCGCATACAATCTCACACCGGCCTATTCAGTCCATGCTGCCTAAGCTAAATTAACTCTCTGTCCACTTTTCTTGTATTTTTTATAAAGCGTGACACGCTCTCAAAGCTCAGAGCAGCTTTTCCACAAGAGGAGCAACAAAAGGTTTTCAGGCTTCTTTTGAAGGTTTGTTCTTTGAAGACAACATTTTTATATTTTCTGCCTGTGAACTCGCTGACACAGTCACAGAAGATCATGTTTTAATATCACAAATCTATTCCCACACAGAATTGAGGACTAAAAGACGACTAATAACCCATGCTAGTTAAGAATTATACAAGCATCACCAACATCAAACACGCAACAAGAATATTAAATCTCACTTTAACGCAATTTATTAAGAAGTTCCACAGATTTATGTTGATTACAAATTTAAAATTTGATACAAAACAAAGAGGCAAGAGGGTTTATGTGAACTCCGCTTTTCTGGTGAGAAACAGAGATGCTGCTGGTGGGGGGTTTTGTGAGTTGCTGTTGACTATTTTACTGTGCAAAGCCATACAAATAAAGGGCAAAGGAAGAATCAAACAAGCAGCACGAGTCTTTATAAATTACTGATGCAGTGCAGAAAGGGGATTTGCAGCCTAGCAGCCTAAGGTTTGCCGTTTACAGATGCATATAAAGAGGATCAATCCAATTTTCTTAGCTCTACAAAAAAGAAAACACAAGATTTGATCCCTTTACAGTTATTAATTTACACCACAACATCTGCAAAAAAAAAAAAAAAAAAAAAGCTAATCCTGACCAAACCTGTCTGTGTGGATAATTCCTCTAAGTTATACTGATTCAAATATTCTGTGGCGAAGTCGAAAAATGGAGTCTGCTCAGAAGCTATGATATGAAGAATACATCTTACTTTGCATCATATCTGACTTGTTTCATCAATTTCCAAGTTCAAATGTACTATCCAAGCAGTCTGAAGGCCCTGTTCCACCAGAACCAAGCAGCACAGCTCAACTGGGTTTGGTTCAGATCATCAGAGTTCAAGTGGCTTTCAATTACAATTGAGTGAAAACAATGAAGGACCCTAAAGCTATGTTAAACATGCTGCTCAGTCTGCTACTATCCATGAAATAAATAAACCTGCTATCCTCTTCTAGAAAAAATATTTTTTTTTTTTTTTTTTTTTATGTGGCCACCCAACTTCAAATTTTCCAGCAGCCACGATTTTAAATTCTAAATGGAGATCTACAACTAGATTGGTCGGAGGAATGACTAATCTAGTGTGTTAACAGCCAATTGAACCCAATTAAAGCCTTTTCTGATAAAGGGAAATCAGGCTAACCACAGAAGCCATAAAAAATTGGCTGTTTGGCACCACAGGACAGAATATCGACAGTGTAATGTAGACAGACTGTGAGAAGTTAGCAGAGAAATAAAACAACTGCGATTTCCTGCTACAGAGCAACGTGGTCCTTTATTTGTCTGATCACTATTCGTCTATCATTATTACCGGCATGATGGGTACAGTCACTCTTAACCAATCCTACTTCTTCTTGCATGCAGCTCTAATAAACACAGACAGTTGTTGAAACCTCCCAGTCAATATGTTAGCTGTCAGTCCTGATCATATCACTTGGCTTTGATTAATGGTAACGTAGTGTTCTCTATTAACATCATTTAAACTCCACAGGATGAAATGCTACACAGACTGCTTAAAACTAGAATCGTTGATACGGTGCTTCACAGAGAGGCATGCTTTATCTTCCACTGATTTGTTTCTCTTCTGTGGACAAAAAATTAAATTTCCGTGTTGTGCGACAGAAGCAACTGATTATCTGCACAGGCGCCTCTCTGGGAGACAGGTGTAAGTGTGTGGAGCTTGAGGTCTGACAGCATGCAGCGCCATCAACATTTCCGTCCAGCGCACGTTGTATAAACTAACAGCTGCTTTATCTTGTGTGATGAGCTCAGGTTTAATTAGCTTTTAAATTGGCTGTATGTTTGAGGACCATTCAGGTGCTGTGCTGTTTTTCCTGTCCTCAGGCCTTTTATATAACGGATCGACAGGAATGCTTTAATAAGGAAGGGTCTTTTCTTCACACTCGCTCCTCAGCTGTGGTCCAGATGTGCTTTTGTATAGTTATTTCTCATAATTACCATGCTTATTGCCATGTTTCCAGTCACCATGTGCCTGAGATGGTGACTCCAGTTTGGCTTGAGCTGCATTTCAGTTGCAAAACCAAAAACATCCGGCTTTTCAAACTGAGACGCTTTTTACATGAAGCTTGATGTGATCCAACGACTCCCGTGTCCAGATGGTCGAGTCGAGGAAGTCGTGAATCACTGCAGCCTTATTGACTAAACTTAAATAATTACTTTCCGTTGAAACGAGGCCGATACATGGTTCAAACTGAGGTCTCTCTCTCTCTCTCTCTCTCTCTCTCTCTCTCTCTCTCATATACAATGATATAGGCTCATTATATATGAAACCATACATCTTATATAATGGAGATATAGGCTATATAGTTTGAAACACATTAAATATATATATATTTTTTAATGAATATAAGGTGGGACTCTGCATTAAATGAAGAAGTTCAAGCCTTTTATATGGATGATTTGGAATTTTCAAACCCAAGCTTATTTACTACATATTCTGAGGGAAGGATCACTTGAGTTTTACTATGATTCCTATTTTCTAACTTCAGTTACCATGTATTGAACTAAAACACTTCAGTTATTGGTTAAGGCCTTATACTGGACTATCTTTTTTTTTTCAGCTGTGCTTTTACACATTTTCTGCTTTTACTTTTTTTCTAAACTTCTGAAACTTCTTGAAAATTGTTAGGAATTGATGTTGTCAGATTAACAATCTGACAACAAAACAGGTTAAATCATTCACAAGCATCTAAGATGACCTTTTTATCTGAACTGAAATTGAAATGAACTTTTTAGCACAATACAATACCAGTGAAATAATCAATACAAGGTGGCATTTTAGATTCTGGGGAAGCATTTTATGAAAGCATAGGGCTCTCGCTACCAAATACCAGAAAAAAGTAACCAGTTACAGTATGGCTATGCTTTCTTAGTCTTATTTAGGGCATGTGCATCTTGTTGAACCTCAGGGATTCTTTCAGTGTCAAGATTCAGGAGGACTATTAAGAAATCAGGTCACACTTTAGAGCCCCGGGTGTTTAGTTAAAGTCATTGACTAACACCATTATCTGATTATCTTCAAGTCCTGGCTACGTTACTGACACCCAAATGAGGAAAAACAAGATAATGGATGACATCTCTGAACAGCATTTCTAGAAATTGCAACAGCAAGTATAAAAAGCTGCTTTTGAAGGGAAGGCGTAGGCAGTAGCGTATTCACCAATCATGTGACTAGAACACAAATGGACCGATGGAAAGAAACACACTTATTCACAACTGATGTCATGGAAACCATATCTCGTAGTCGCGACAGCCTTCTTTCAGCCATAGAGCAATAATCTTACCTGTGTGTTTGTCCAGAAAGTAAGATGACTGCAAACAGTGACACTGTCAGTTTGAAGCAGGTGACGCTGGCATGTTGTGGCGCCGTTTTGGACGTTTCCCACCACACAGTCGTAGATTAGGACGGTGAGAAAGTCACTCTTTTGAAGCCAAGCCAAGCAACAGATGAAGACCTGCATCTCGCCATAACATCTAAAGAAGACGGATGCAAAGTTGTTAGATTCTTAGCAAGCCAGGATCTCTTTTTCTGGACATTTTTGGGTAATGTTGACTTATCCTGCCACACATACTTACTACGTCACTTTTGCAGATAAAGAAAGTTCATTCTAAACATGAGCGTGCCAGTGTTTGAGATGTTTCACCAGGGTTGTAGAGCAACTTGGCTTTGTCGCCACCACTTGGCAGCAAAGAAGAAAAAAAAACATGTCTGTGTGTGTGTGTGCAGCCAAATAACTAAGTCAATCAGAGTTATTTGATTGGCTTAGGAAGAAAATGCCTCAGTCTGTAACAAATCTGATGCAAACGCTGATGTTCAAACAAGTTTTTAGTTCTGATTATTTCACATTCCTGCTTTAGGCATAACTTAGTCTTTTGTGCGTTGTTTTTACACATGGACCTTTAAGATAATTTTTAAAAAAATACCAAAATTAGATCAAAACATGTTCTATAAACAGTTTTTGTTTCCGTCAGCAGAAAAGCAGAATGCCTGAGATAAGCAAAGCTGCATATGTACAACTCTTTAAACGCATCAGTAGGAGTATTTCAATCTCACGCTGTTCTTGCCATAAAGAGAAGCAGGCTATCAAACCTTACTGTAATTACTACAGGATGATAACATGAATTTCGAGACCTTTGCCGTTCCTCCAACAGAGCTCAGTCAGTCTGGATAACCCCAGCAGCGATTGCATGTGCTACTTACTTCTATTAATCGATGCCTCGATCTCACAGACTGACATCCCCACCCACACACGCTGTGAGGATTTCGTCCTTTTCTGTGTAGCACCTTATACTGGAAATAAAAAATTCATTGAGCCACTTGGCAACCGGAGATGTGAACTAACAGAAAAGTAAAGAGTGGGAGTAGAAAAATGAGATCCAGCTGATTACAGCTATAAGGCAGACACAGGTTTACAGTAAGCCAGCTCATCATCATCTTCTGTCTACTCGTGTTGCACCAAATCCAAAGATATTACAGGAATAAAAGCGTGCCGATGGTGACCCATCTCACAGAGAAATTACAAGACCAGAGGGATCGTTTTTTTCCAGTTCCCATGACAAGTCAGCATAGTTGGCCTTGTGAGGCTTTGTAGAGTAATAAATCACCTTGCAACATTCATTAAATGTTGCAAGGCTCCTAGATACGACTTCTTTCTTTGATCAACCCTTATTTTCAGTGGAAAAAAAAATGCATATTAAGAAATTCATATTTTTAGTAAATCTTGTCACATTTATGCACTAATACTCTCCCTGCGAGAGAACAAGTAGGCTATTTCTATAATATATTCCAAGGGTGAATGACACAAATCTATAACCATTTCTTTTCATATCATCCAGTCTTGAGTTCTCTCTCAGAATCTCTGTTCAGCTCTTTCGACATTAAAGGACTGTAAATATAGGCAAGTAAGCATTTTCTTGTAGCCATAACCTGACCTGAGATTAATACACAGCTGCCCTACTTGAACAGTATTTTCTTGTTCTTCCCGTTTTGAAGTGCGACCAACAAAAAGCTGTCTCTTTTGCTGCATGTTAAGACTGGAAAAGTACCAATCTTCAGAATAATTTCTAAAAACAAAATAATACCTTCTGTGGCCCATTTTCACAGGAATCAGAGGCACGAATAAACATGGCAATTTGTTGAAAATAATAATTTTCTATAGCTTATTATTTTCCATGCTGAATAAATATTATCAAATTAAAATCTGTTAGAAATTGCCACTGCATTAAAATAAGACTTTTACACATCCTTACCTGAGCTGTCAACAATCATGGAAACTGCTATAAATATGAATATGAGTGATACTTTATTGTTATTAGGTAGCAGCAGAAGATGCACACTTATAGCGGCTTATAGAAATTGTAGAGGTTTATCTAATTCTAATTTATTATTGGAAGATGGAAAAAGATGGGGACATCTTTCTAGATCCTAACAAGACCTCGTACTGGCAGAACAGACTGTTGAGGATTTATGATATATTTTAACACTAATGTTCACACCTTTTAATCAAATGTGGTATTCCCACCTCCCAAAGCCTTAAGAAGACAAACTAGTTTTCAAACACACCGCGACAGAATCTCATTATTAACATGACTTTATGTGCTTTTTAATAATACGGCACAACAGGAAGGCGTGTTGTTCTAAGTACTGCTGGAACATCACCAAACTGCATTCGTCACCGAGTAGCAGGAGCTGATGTCACTCAGGCAGGTTGCCGTTATGCCTAATGATCCAAAATAACAGTTTTTGGATGGACTGAGAAACAAGGTTTTAAATAAACTATTTAACTTAGAAATGTAAAACTCTGTAGTTAAAAACCCCCAACAAAAGCTGTTGAATCTATTAAAGCTTCAATGTGACGTTTTATTTCAATAGGAGGATTACATTAACGTCTAAAGAGAAAGCTTGTTGACATTGGTGTCCCAGTTATGATGGCTTGGAAAAAAAATCCCACTTGACATTGCTCTTACTTTTATCCCAAGCCCTCTTTCTGATTAAAGGCATGTCTGTACCTCTTCTGTGTTTGAGAATGTGTCCAAATTAATTCTATTTAAGCTTAACTTATAGATATACTGTTTTAACTACAGCACCAAAATACATTGGTTTACACAACATCTACTCAGATAGGGAGAAGAAGGAAAAGCTAAAAGAGTCAAAGGATTTCCCACCAGAATATCAGTGAATCTTTGTGTCGTCGTTGTTGCTGACACATGAATGGCCCAAACAAACATAAAAACAGATTTCAGGTCTGATCACCCTTTTGGATTCAGTTGCAAAACAAATTTTTATTTTGCGTTGTTTGTCTTGATTTAACTCTGGGTAGAGTTCTTGCAGGAGTTCGTTTCTACTTTTATCTCAGTGCCTCAAACTTGTGCTGAGTCATGTAGTACAGCTTTCTTTGGCGTTTCCAATCGTATTTAACCCAGTTCCAGATTAAAAGGAGAACCACCAAAATTTCCCATGACCTGGAACGCAACCAACAGGCCGTCAGTGTCCGAGTGACCTCACAGTCAGAACAACAGCTGTTAGAGTACAGATTTCTCATTCAGCAGAGCTTAATGGTTCTGTGGAAGCTGCTGTCCAGATAATTCAGTGAGATAGACAGTAGCCTCATGTCAGACCACATTAAGATTAGATTCCTTCCTCTGCGGCAGTTTGAATTTGCCCTCCCCATTTACTTTTCCTTCTTTGTTTTAAGTAAAGCTTAGATTCAAAATGTCTATAAAACCCCCTGAAAATGTTTTACCTGTATTCCCGTTTTACATAATTGCTTTATTAGTGGAATTAATGTAGTATCTCCATTATATTTTTTGTTTTCATTTCTTTAACTTCCAATAGAGTATAGTCTAATTCTTGATTTATAAACTTCAACATAGTTTAACCTATCTTAATCATGATGCATAGCTACTTTATAGATTTAAATTTAAATTATTTCACTATATGTTTCAAACTATGCGGTTCCCTCTCTGCTTCAGCATCTTTGTCACTAAGATTTAGTGATGAGAAATTTGGCTCTTTTCAGAGAACCGGCTCTTGTGGCATGGCTCCCAAACAGCTCTTACTATGAGGCCTAACAGCCTCATAGTTAGGCTGTAGCCTCATAGCCTAACTTGGCAAATATAAATGTTGTCATGATAAATCATTTTGCTTTCAGTGTTCCATGAAAAGTCTTATGCTTGCCTGATTTTATGTATTTATTCTGTTACGAAAGCAGTTTTGTTCTAAGTTTTACGAAACACAAAAACAATCAAAACGCTGCAAACAAATCTACCGAACAGACCCATGGTAATATCATTCAATATATTATATCTTACATAATACCTTCAAACAGCAGTCAGATGCTGCTTTTCTTACAGGTGTCAGTTATATTCATGGATTTTTGCGCCGCACTTTCCGCTTCATCAATGTCTATTGACTGAGGGAATGGACTAACCTGGGCCTGGGAGCAGCTCCCCGAGAAACAGCAGAAGAGAGTCGCAGGGGAAGCCAGAACCTTCAGGGGACTGCAGCGATGCATCCGTAAGCTCTGCCGACAACCAGCTACGCTGCAACCATGCAAACAAACCAACATCACTGCTACGACGACGTGGCTGCAAAGGACCCCCAAAGCACTGCAATCCCTTGGTGGCATCCTCCAACCAGCATCACCAACATTCCCCCACAACACAGTTGTGAACAGAGCAGGAAACCATGAACCCTTCCCAGCAGCCTGGCCAACAACACCAAACCCCAGATCTCCTGTCCATGAAGCTCTTCATGCCAGGCACCTGCACAAACCCACCGCCCCAGGCCAAGCACAGCCCGTCAACCACCCCGACACCACAATAAGGTGCATTCCACTACCCCGCCCACCCAATCACAGGCAGGCCACCAGCCTGGGAGAGCAGCAGGGAGAAGCAATGGAGGAAGGCCAAACATCGGGGACTCCACCAACCCAACACCAAGGACCTGGAGGCATCCAAACAGCGCCTACCCTTTGTCTCCCCAGCCTATACGCTGCTCCATGGTGACTGTCCAGCTTCTCCGCCAAAGCGAAGCCATGACTCCTATCATCGCAGCACACCACCAATGGCCAGCCACAGACCCCAATCAACCGCCCACTGGGCACCCGAGCTGAAGGGCCAACATCACCACCAGGACGCGAGACAGGTGGAAAGACCCCATGCCTGTGTAGCTTTATTTCTAACACACACACTCTGTCTTTGTATGGTATAAAATTGCAGCAGTTGGGAAAAGGTGAAGCATTATCTAATGTCTATGAGCCCTTGAGGAACTCAGTTTTTCATAAGCTTAATTAGGAAAAGAAAGTTAGAGTAACCAGATATAATCAACAACACTGCAAGCCATATCCTTGCACAATTACAGGCAAACTTTTTTGAACAAAAATCAACTCACAATGATAAATCTTAGTTGGTATGGCAACAAGACCATTGGACCTAGAGAGGTCAGTACAAGCCGTTTGTGCCAAGTAAAATAT